CACTGAAAACACTGAGCAGCGGGACCCTCGGGACTATTGGGGAGCTGAGTGAATCAGCCATGCTGCTCTGCTCCGAGCTGCCATGGCAAAACTGACTTTGCATTTAAATTAGATAATTTAAAAGTGTCCTGGGCACCTCTGCACCACGCTTTCCTCCCTTATCTCACTGCATAAAGAAATTTAAAGGACAAGGCAAAACACTGTCTTTCTAAAATCTACAGCCTAGTTTATCATCCATAAATACAGCACTTCTCCAGRCATTTCCTGGCTGATGCTGTTCCCTACCAAACACCCAGTGAAATCCTAGAAGTGCTGTATACTAGAGCTTATTAATATGAAAATAATAGCACAGAACAGAGCAAAGAGAAAACCTGCAGGTTTAATCCAGAAACCTTTAAACTRTTTTTTGTTATAATTTCTGTTGCTCTAAATCAGTATTTCCCAATCAGCAGAGTACACTGTGATGGTGAGCTGTACAAATCTCAAGAATGAGGCACAGCATCTTGTGCCTCCTAATTAGCTCTGCTGGCATAATTGACTCTGGCTGGGCACCAGAGCCAGAACAGCTCTGAGCTGACAAGGCTGTGAGGAGGCAGGTGTAGGGAAAGGAGAAAAGCAACAGCAGCATCACACACCTGTGCAAGGGAGGCAAGGAAGGGAAAACCCTAGGACTGGGGGAAGAATACACAGAAGAGATCAGGAGAAATAGAGAAGGACTCCCAGGCAAAAACAAATAAGAAAGAAGGAGGGAGTAGTTCTGTTGTCTGCCTAAAAGAGCAAAGAACCACTGGTTGAAGTTGATGAAAACTGTAGATTTGTATTAACAAAGGGTCTGAACATTAAATACCTGTCAGAGATTTGGTGGGTGGTTTTTTGGGTTTTTTTAGCTATTCCACAGCATCCTACTGAAATTTTTTTTCCAGGCAACATGRTCAGTTTGTGAACCTTCACTGACAGCATAGAGCCAGGGAGGAACCTTTGAAGCAGAAAGTGGGAACAAAGAGCACAATAAGGAGTCCACAAATAGTCCAAATTTGCATAAAATTAACATAGAAAAGTACTGCATTGTTAAGGGTAAATTATTATCTGGATTCTGACAGATTCCCTCTAAGGGAAAAGGTAAAGATTTTCCTCTCAGCTCATCCAGAGTATTCACTATAAACATACAGGGATGTTGTTAAACGGTGTTGGCATTGATATTGTATCTAATTAATTAATGCATAGCATTGGGAGGGAAAACTAATACATTCTGTCTTATTTCTTCTTCTGAAATTAGATGCTTTGTCATATTCATTTTCCATTCAGCCATAACCAAATTCCTCTTTTTTTTATTTAGTACTAGGCCTGCTTCCAGTGAGTAACTAGTGTGTGGTAAAAAGCATTTTTCCAGCCAGCCCCTGCCTTTACCTAACAAGATGGAGGGTCTTAACTCTTTTGTTCATACTTTTATTTCCCCATGAATGTCTTCATCACAATGCTGGTACCTTGGTGCTACCCCCAGGAAGAGCTTCCCACCACAACTGCCACCAATTCTCCTCATCTCCTAGTTTCTACTCCGCTGCAGTTCCCCAGAGCAGCCTCTTAATCCTCTGCAGGACTTAAAATTTAAAAGCAGTGTGTGAGCTTTCTCAACACTGTTCAGCTTTCCAGACTCGTGAGCCTGACATACAGACAGGAACAACCTCTGCTGAGCTTTCCCAGAGGCTGGAAACAGGTCACTCATCCTCTCACAGGTTCCTCACCTCCCAGGGCAGCTGAAATCAGGGATTGGCATCGCATGGGTGGGCTAACACCATCACAGAGCAGGAACAAGTGACAGGCCYGATGCAGCATGGAGATGTCAGGGATGGTCAGGGCTCCTTAGGACATTTAGCCCAGGACAGTCTCATCAGCCAAGAGATAAGCAGCAAGCTGGCCTCTCTTTGYTCCATGGTATCTCCCCTAGGCCAAGGGTCCTTCGAGCTTTATCTAAATTACAGTGGTTCCTTCTTGTCTGCCCATGAGAAGCCTGTCCCAGTTRGAGTTGAAACAGATTAATGATGAGGCATGGCTCTTTCCCACAAAAACTTTGCTCTTTAGATACTACCATCTTCACTTTTTCACTTTTTCACTTCCTTTCCTACTTTATATTCTGTCTTCAAACAGCTTATAAAACAGAATTGTATATCTGGGTATAGAGAGTATGTGCTTCCTCAAATTGTCTCAATCCTGTTTTTAACTCTGGGTACAACTGTTACCTTCCACTTCTGCAGCAAAATAGCTGTTTTTAATTAAGGAAGGCATATTTTTGTTGCAGATCAGCTGTTTCATACTAAGCTCCTTCAAAACTTTTCAATGTACCATCTGGAGCTGATGATTTGCTGCTTTTTAAATTATCGATTTGTTCCAGCTCTTCCTTCTGACACATCTTGATTACCAGAAAAGAGCAAGTCCCAGTAGGTATCACTCTGATATTCTCTGTGCCGAAGAGTGCTGCAAACAAATCATTTAGATTCTCAGCAATGTCTTTATCTTCTTTAATTTCTGCCTTTAATCTTCACTGATCCAGTTTCTGAACTACCAGTTAATTACGCCTACTCTTCTGACTGACAAACCTGAAGCATTCTTATTTCAAAACTTTAGGATTTTGCAGTCCACCATAATTTCTTTTTATGTGCCTTTCACCTAGTCCTTACACTAATTAATAATTAATAAACCAATGTATTGGAAAACTAAGGTTAGATCTTCAGGTTTGGAAGAGTTCCCTGACACTCAGTAGTACTGATTTCCTCTTTGCTTGCCCAGTATTACTGTTGTTGGCAACATACATGCCCTCCAGACTCTATTATTGTTCTTAAGTGGAATTCATGGCATCTTCCTCTACTCTTCCCTCAGGAGCTTTCTTGACAAATCCTCTCAACACAACTGAAACCCAGATGCTCTGAAATTTCAGTCACTTTTTTGTACCTTATTTCCCTCCAAGCTACAGGATATGACTGCTAGAAGCTTCAGATGCAATCTTGTCTTTAATTCCTTCCTGCATATTGATTAAGAACCAAAAATTAGGTTATCAGGATGTAGACACCTAAAAAGGGTGGAATTTTGGTCTGAAATTTCATACGTAATTATGGCTCTGGCCTAAGCTGGGAAAAAAGGCACCCACACCCTGTTTTAATACTTTCCAAAGGCAGTAATTGGACAGTAGTTGGCAAATCTGGGGTGTGCAATCCATGCCAGTAGCAACACAGTGTTGGAAACTGCTTGTCTGCAGTAGTGCAGTGATTATTTTCTTCCTGACTTAAAAAGACTGCATGGAAAGGTGGTCAAGCCATCATTGCCCATCTCAAATGAAGCACTTGGCCACCTGGCAGAGAACTAGGAGGGCAGAGGGCACGCTCTTCYACTTGTTGGGACAGGGTTCCTGGCTCAGTAAGAACAGCCAAGCTTCTGGGGTGAAAAGAGACCTGACACTATAGCTTGGTGGTTTGGGGTGTCAGAGCAGAGAGGTCTCCTAGGTTTGAGTCAGTGCGCTGATCCTAAGCACTTTATTTTATCACTGAGCCCAGTGCAAAATGGTCCCTAAAACAAAACACTTAACTTCCTGTCTGGGGCCTGCTGAGACTCCTCTTCAATATGTAGGAAGAGCTTATCTTTATGAGACAGAGATGTGCAGGACCACGTTAACCAAGTTAAAGTTGTGGCCTGAATCCTGAGCCATCTCCTGCTCAGAGCACTCACTCCTCAATGAGGAGTGTGCCCAAGGAACAGCCAGCTCCTACCTGAAAACTTGACAGTTGTTCAGCAGAGTGAGCTGAACTTTACCTCAAGTCCACATGAAAAGCAAAGAAATTTGAACAGGCTTGCTTTGGGCTTGTTATACTCCTTCCTGAACTGCTGCTCTWTACTATTTTCTTCTGGTTTCCTCCTGCTGACACACCTAAACATGGCTGGACAGCAGAATTTCTCAATTGCTTCCCTACTCAGCTCATGCCAAATAGCAAAAGCCCCTACAAAGTGTCAGCTGAGCTTTAAATCATTTATTGTTAAGAAAATAAATTGGAATCCTACCACTGACCATTGAATTGCGGCTGATGATTTAAAGAGAAAGGAGTAGAAATGCACCACAATAGACATAATCCTCCAATCCTTACAGCACTGGCCTCCCCAGTGGTTCTGCTGAAGGGAGCTTTGGCCATCCTCTCTATGATGGCTCTTTCCTCACTGGTCACTTCACCTCYACCACAGGCCACACTCGCTTCAGCCACAGAAAAATGGGTGCAACAATGAATGCCTCWTATCAGGATGGCAGCTGCAATTAGGGAGGCCTCATAACCCACCTGCAGGAGGTTTGTGTTTGGTGTCTCTGCCTGCGTGTAGAAAGATCTCATTTTGGTCATACCCATTTGCATAGAAAAGACCTCAGCCTGAAGAACTGGGGAAATAGATTTATATCACATATAAAACCCTGGTCAGTGCCTGGTTACACATGCAGAAATACTCAGAGAGAGAAGCCCTCCTTGCAACTGGGGAAAGGCCTTTGATGTTCCCTTCCATTACATATTCTTCAAGTACCCAGTCTGGTGACTTCATGTTGCTACAGTCGCTCCCAGGTCATCCACTAACCTGTTCCAGTTCCTGCTGATCTTTTCTGACCAGATTTGAAGCTTTTGAACCAAATTACATGAGAGAATGCTAATAAAACAGCAAATCAACAGAAAACGTCACCACAACCCTCTGACCTCCTGCTCTGCTGAGGAACTCCAGGCCGAAAGAAACCCAAATACCCCTTTGCCACCTCAAGTCTTCCCACCCTGAAGCGCCCGCAGCCCTTCGCTCGGGCAGGGCCCACAGGTGCCCAGTGGCGGMGGGAGGCGAGTGGCCCGTGTGCCGGGCCGGGGCTGAGGGTGGCCGGGAGCTGCTGCGCGCCCCTCGCCCCGCGCTGGCCCCGCGCTGGCCCCGCACNCCCGCACCGCCCCGGGCGCGCCCTCGCCGTGCGGCCGCAGAGCCGCCCTTGCGCTTACCTTTGCCAGGCACGTGTGCGGGACGGGCCGCCGGGGGATGGCGGGGGGAGGCTGCCGGGGAGCCTGGCGGGGAGGCTGCCGGGGAAGCTGGAGGGCGGCGGGTCCCCGAGGAGCCCCCGGAGCGGGCGTGCTGCTCCCCACGCCGGGCAGCGAGGCTGCGGGCGCCCGGCGAGCGCTTGGCTGGGGCACAGCGCTGCTCAGGCGGTGAGGGCAGTGAGCTGTGAAGCTGCTCCCCGCCTCGGCGTTACCATCTCGCCAGCCACGCAGTCCCGGCGAAAAACATCGCCTTCAAGCACTGCCGTCATCTYCACCGAGGGCGCAGGGCCGGCTTGCTGGGAACGGCATCGCGCACCGCACCGCGATACGCGCCCGGTCAACACCGACACCTTCTGCTCCCACAAGAAAACGAGGACCCCAAAGAGTAACATGCAACACAGATGGAAAACAGGGAGGACCGCATTGAAAGATGCTTCTGGGTCAGGGCTGTACCGCTTCTCCGGTCCAACAGCACCATCTCCTGGGTGGCCTCGGCCGCTCGTCCGGCTGCCGGGCGCTCATCGCCGAGCATCTYCCCGCGAAAGACCCTCCACAGCTTCCCTCTGCCATCAGCGAAAGTGTTTCGTTTATTTGCTCTCCTTTTAGACGGTTTCAGTATTTTTGCAATTGCTTCCTTTCACATCCTATTGCTTGTCTCTCATGAAGTATCACAGACAGATGAGTAAATAAATACTTAAGAAATCTAGATTCTGTATATTTTTTAAATCAGCAGTACAAGAAGTTCTTGAATAGCTGCCCTAAATTTGCTCTCTTCTGAGCTGTGAGGGGTTAATTATGTACCCAGTCCGCATGGAGCACATCCCCTTTGAAGTAAKCAAAAAGTGCTGCTTGTCAGAGAATACCTGTATTTTCTTTAAGAAAAAGAACCTACTTGAAGAGCTGTTTAAAGTTTAGACAAGTAAAATGATGGAAAAGAGCAGAAATGGTAGATTTCACCGTGTTACCATTCAATGGGGTGATCCTATGTGACAAGCAGTATTTCAAAGATCCTCCTTGTAGTGTATATTTGAAAGCTCTAAAACACTTGTTGAGATACCCCCTGTAAATGCATGTGGTTTTCACTCACTACATCATAGGTTTAACACTAAAGGCTCCAAAACTTTATTCTCTCTACAGCTATGACCATACAAGTAACAAATCACTTCTGTGTTTCAGTTTTCTTTGGTCTGCAAAACAAAGACATGTTTCACTGTTTTGAAGCCAAATTGTACATGGAATCCTTCAGGCTTTGAAGGTTGTGCTTATAGAAGTAAAAAAAGTTTAAGTCAATGATAGTTTTTCGAATTCAGCACTCTTCAAAACCCCTTTCAACCTCATTTACTGTTAAATGCCAGGCAAAACTTTACAGAAGGTGCTATAAAATGCTATGTAGGTCCCTTGTGCAAGCTTTAACTTAGGAGGGACAACATGTAACTATAAATACAGACACACATGCCTGTGCAGGAGCATTCTCATGGCTTTTWATGTAAAATAGCTGCAACAATAAAAAGAAAAAAGTAATTGTCCTTGTGGCTTGCTAAATTAACATCTTCCATTGGCAAAGTTGTTTCAAAACTCATATTGAACTTAGGTCTTGGGTTCTTCATCACCACCTGCACAAATTTGAAGTAAATAGGGTTCTTTGAAGTAAACAGTGTTCTTTGGAGATTACAGTATGTATTTCTACAGCTAGAGAAAAGCTACTAGAGGCTCTCTCCATCTTTAAGGATGCTTWGTTTGTTTGTTTATTTACTCTGCTTCTAAAGGTCTTAAACATTAATGTCATTTGAGAATAAAAGGCACCCTTAAAGGGTTTTGTTTCTTCTTGAGAAGGGAGTATGAGCCAGCAGCCTGCTGTCCTGTCAGCCTTTCTTCTGTSCAGTTAAGATGTGATCGTCAAACCTGGGAAGATACAAATGCTTGTTGATTGCATACAGCACTGTGCATTCATCTGTTACACCGTATGACTACCACAGAGTGCTRTGGTCTTTCTAATTAAAACCCTTTGCTCGTGGCCTTCTCCCTTACTTCCCAAGAAACAAGGCATGAGCATGATGCTGAATGATTCAGAAAAAAAAATGTTGAAAATAAAATCTCAGTCTACTTAGTCACTTTAGCCCTGTTTTCTGTGTAACTAAAATCTGCATTCCCTGGGCGATTCCAGGAAAAGTCTCGAGTAGTTAAATTAGTGAGGACTTTCTATGGCTGTGATCAGGTCACATCAAAGACAGCACTGCTTTGACAGGGCTATTAAGCGAAACAAGCAGCATCTCAATGAAAAAGTGAAAACCAGATAATGAACAACAGTCCTTTACAGAGAAGTGTGTTCATCTCAACCCTTTCAGCCAAAAAGCAAGCTCGAGACAGCACCATTAACAATCCAAGCCCTTTCCACTCTCTTTACCTTTCMTTATTGTCTTTCCATCTTCCCACTCACAGACTCCTTAACAGGTAACATGTATCTTGTAACTAATGAGCGCTTTTTTCTTACACAAGCCTGTAATATGGATATTGAACTGTGTAAGATCTGGTTTCTGCAGAAGGGACATGCAAATCAGATTAGACAGGGATTTATTGATCAGGCTGCCAGCTCTGCTTTTTAATATTGCCCTTCTTAGATGCAGGTACTGACAGGGTCTTACTGGGATTCTTGGTGCCAGCTCAGGAGAGATTTTCCTTGGTATAATTCTTTGATTCCATGTTCCCAAGCTTGATTGTTTTCTATGCACTTTGTTAGCACTGACAGGCTCCATGAAAAGCCTGCCAAGATTTCTAGCTCACTTCCTAAAGAGAACCAGAGAACTCAGTGAGAACATGAAAATAAGCCTACATGTTGTCAGAACTAAAATAAGGGCATTTAAGTATTTCAGGACATCTAGATGGTATAAAGTTATTTTTTCAGAGTAAACAAGCARTGCAAAATATTGACCACTTCCAAACATTTGCTACCAAAATTAAAGCAAGGAAGTCATTAGGCCTGAGAAACATACTCACTGTGTAACCCATTAATATGCCCTGAGCTGTTAAYAGCTGTTTTCTCAGGAAAACAACTTTTGTGTTAACTGATTTTAATGCACCCAAAATCAGCAGCACAAGCGTTTGTAACCTCCTTCCTTCTGCTCCTCACCAGGACCACTTGAAGAAAAGTGAAGAAACCTCTTCGGTGCAGGTTTAGGACAGTAGATCAGCTTTGGAATATGAACAATTTCATTTGCTTAAACCAAAGCATCTTGCTTCATATCTAAGAGGTGTGAAGTGCTAGCAAATGTGAAAGATTAACTTATGATCTGGTAAAGAGGYTGGTCCACTCTGTTCAGCCTTTTAGCACAGCAGCAACACCAAGGAATCTTCAGAATAAAATGTAAATAATTATGGTAATGATTTCCAGTTTGGCACTCATACTGCAACCCTATAATAGAATAACAATCCTTATAGTATCTCACTGCAAGCTCTCAGCAGGGCTATACAACCAAGATCTATGAGTATCACACCAGAGGAGCAGCCAGCCTGAGTTCCTGCCTGGCCCGACACACAGAAGAACAAACAGCAGGAATGGGACCGGCAGCTCCACATGCTCAACCTTGACCCATAGAAGCCCTGCAGCTGCCAAGCTCCTACACAGCCCTGATGCCTGCCCTATCCTTACCACAGCAGACCCAACACATCAGGCAGTTTTGCCTCTCTTCATCAAAGATGGCAAGGGCAGGTCCCCATCTTTGCTCCTGGCTGTCCTCAGCAGCTTCAGTTGGCCTTCCCAAGGTGTGCTCTTGACCACTATTACCTCTTCAGTCTTCATTTTTTATGGCAGAGGAATCTTGGAAGAACAAGCAGCAGTGCAGGCTTCCTGYATCCTCTCCCTCACCTCCTGTGACAAGCTGATCCTCCTGGGGAGAAAAAAWGTCACCCTTTCCTCCGCAGCAGCCATCACATCCTCCTGATGAGGGACTCCTCATGGATCCTTCCAGCTGGCATCAGCCCCCCAATATTAGCTCAGCACATTTGCTAATTGTCACTCCATACTCCACTATTATCAGTTGCCTTCTCTCATTGCCAGAGTGTGAGAAAAGCAGGTGCAAATCTCTCCTCAGAGAGGCATGGGTTTTTTCCTCAGAAAAATCAGTTCATTTCCTGGCATCCCTTTGAGACTGGAAGTACATGGGCCCTTTTGCCTTTAGTTTTTGGGACAGCAGATGATGAGCAGAGTGCACAAATACTGCCCATCTTCTAAAATTATCAACCCTAGAATTAGTTTCTTGGGGAAAACACTCTCAACGAACAACAAAGTAAAGCTCTTTGTGAGCATCTGAAACGTTACAATTTAAGTAGATGGTGGTAATTTTTTTATTGCAGCTGGATTAACTTGACCATTTTATAAATGTAGAACAACTGCTCATGCGGAGGCTGGAAATGCATGGCTTRCACAGGAATGCAGGCAGAAGTCACAGTTTCTATCCCCACTGTGTGGCTTTGTCACACACACTTTATGGAATCACTGTTGCTTTTACTTGCTCAATTCCATTTTCCAGTCAGGCAGTGATYGATATAAACACTATGTATGTTATTTACGTGTATGTATATATGTTATGCAAAGGTTTAATCAAGTAATTAAAACCTAAAAGAGGRGAAGAAAGTAGAGAAAGCAGAAAAACTTCCATAATGTTCTTATAAGCAGAAACTCATGGTGGGAGAAAAAATTTGCTGCATAGAAGATAAATACGACCTGACAATGCTAAAAGTTCCCTTTATGTTAAATTCCTAGAAGATACTACTGAAAAATATTCAGCTTGTGCAGAAGACTAAAGATCTATGACACACCAAATTTGGTGGGCTGTTTTTTTAATAGATTTATTTAGTAGCCAGATGCAGAAGATAATTAAATTTTMATCACCTTTTTGTTTACTGTGTGCATTAATTTCAATAGGTCTGTTGACACAAATAACAGAAGATTTTTGAAATTCACTTCTTCTTCTCAACACAGTTTCATATTCAGAATGGCAAACACTACTTATGACAGATTAGCCATAAGAAAGCTCATTTAATTTGAATTCAAATGCTCAGAACAAACCTACATCCATACCTAAAGCATTGCATGAACGTGATGTGGCACATGAACAGAAGAAATCTTGCACTCACACCTCCATGCCTTACAGCCCCAAATGACTGCTCAGAGTGCAACTTCCTCATGCACAGTGATCATTCAGTCACCTCCATGGAACTGCTGTGGTGAATAACTGAACACACACAACACACACTGTATTTGATCAGGCTGATACTGACTGCATTACAACTACACAGCAAACTTACTGTTAACAGTTTGGCAAATCCTGTGCAGAATGTGCTAGTATAGTTTCTGCACTTCACTGCTGGCCCATGTGGGCAGGAGAGATTTAGAACCAGAACTTG